TCCTGAAACTGAGGCTCCAGTACTTTGGCTATCTCATGAGCAGAAAAGTCTCCCTGGAAAGGACCCTGATGTTAGGAAAGTGTGAAGGCAAGAGGAGAAGGCGACAACAGAGGACGAGAAGTTGACCAAACTCCGGGAGGCAGTGGAAGACAGGAGGCCTGGTGTGCTCTGGTCCACGGGGTCATGAAGAGCCGGACACAACTTAACAACTAAACAACAACATACTGTTGAATTATATTGGGAAATGTTCCACAACTTTTAGTCTATAATAGGAATGATTTCGGTAATATCTTAAGTAAAAGAAACATTATGATGATTACAAATGTTTTGAAGCAGGTTGAAGACAAGAGAAACTGCAAATATTTATATTGGAACCTAGGTGTAAATTTCTCTGTTTATACTTCTAATATAGCAGTGTTCCCCAAGTTTGTTGCATTAGAAATCTTTATAGCACATTGCAGCAAGAGCAGGTTGACCCTCTGTCAGACATAAGCTATGTATGGTATACGTAAGTTATGGATAACTAGTTTCAGGAATATTACCCTATAGCTTGCTGAAACACTGGGAATCATTGCTGGTATGATCTGTCAGATTTGTCTGTTTTATCCAAATGCTTAAATGTCCTAGTTTCTCAGTTTATGTACTGTAAAATATATCTATATGAACTGTGAACAAATAGTCTAATATTTAGAAATAATTATGTTACGTTGAGAAATCTCACCTGTTCCTTACTTGACATTTTTGGATAAATGAAAATTCTGCTTTTGGGATCCTGTTACCTATAGACCTTACCTTATCTGGTTGCAGATTATGCTTGCTTTTCTTCAGTACATTAAATAATAAATATATACAATCCTGTTACATATTGGTTTAATGGTCTGAAGTAAAAGAAAATATTTCTAAGGAGCATATTGTGGAAAATGAGCATAAAATTCTCAGTTTTATAAATGACGTAGATGAATGCACTGTTGAAGTATTTCAGTGATACAGAAAGAAACATGGCTTTGTGTGAGAATGAACATGTTCCAATGTTCTAAGTTCGTTAACGTGTCTGGCATCCTTCAGCAAATTTACTTTTGCACTGGATTAAAGAATGAGTGGCTCAAATACTGTTGCCCACCTCCTTGTGCACAAAGGGGAAGACAACAGCAGTGGCAAATTGCTGCTCATTAAATGCTTCCTCTGGCAGTTTCAGAGTGCATGTAGCTCATATACAGTGTGTGCCAGGATTTCAGCCAATATATTGATGTACAGAGGGCAAACTTGTTAAATTAGATTCCTGGGGATGAGGATGTTTTTTTTTTTAAACCACCATGTATACAGATACATTTTATAGATGGTTACCATGTATAAGAGCCAGTGTGGTATAGCAGAGAGTATGTAGGACTTGAAGTCAGGAGACCTGATTTCACATCCTTGCTCAGCCATGAAAACTCAAGTAGATATGGCAGTAGTTTGTTGGGCTGTTTGCTTTTTACTTTATCACTGAACATTGATTTTTAGATATTTCTCATTATTTATTTCATTGACTTTACTGAGGACCCTTTCTAGATCATCTAAATTGTCAGTTAATAATATTTTACTGTCTTCATATGTTATTGGTAACTTCTCCATTGGCAATAATGCTGTAATTTGAATTAGCAAGTGCTCTAAACATATTCTTGAAATACAAATTGAAAAGCAGTGGTTGTAGTCCTTTGTGTATTTCTATGTCTCCTATCATCTCATCTTCAACTTTCATTGCAGCTTTTTGTTGCCAGTATAGGTTGTTAGTTACATGCATGTCTCTTGAATCAACCAATAACTCTATCGGCTTGTCATGTTGAACTATGCCAACAGGTTTGTTATCGTAAATAAGACAGCATTAGTATCCACATTCATGTCATGACTTTAATACTTCTGAGAAAACATAATTGGTGCTCAGTCCAGATTTCTTTATTTCTAATCCATACTGACATCTAGTACCACAAATTCTATTGATCTGTTAACTTTCAAAGAGCTTTTCAGTGTAGTCACTGCACACTTTGATTTTATAGAAGAATTATTATGTCCATCTGTAGTGGGCATTATTGGTGGGTGTTTTTTTTAAAACTTTTAACTTCACTGAAAGCCTGATCTCCTGCTACACCAATGGCGTAACTTTTGAAGGCAAATTGCTCCAAGTTCAGAAATAACTATAGATATTATCAGTTACATGACTCACTAGCCAATAGATAATGGCTGAAATCCTCTTCATTGTAGTGTAATGTTATGCCAGTGGTATCTTGCCAGATGTTATGCACAAGGAACCTCGTTTGTGCAATTGATGT